GCCGCTGGACAAAGTCCGGCTGTCAGGCGGAGCGGCCTCTTCCCCCCAACAGCAGAGTCCAAGCTCCGCGGGTCTCGCCCGCTCCCCGCTGCTCAAGGGCTGGGCGGCGGCGGCGGCTGGGGCCGCTTCCAGAAAAGCTCGGGATGAGGGATGCGGGGTTTAGGATTGCTTCAGCCGCTTGCGGGGCGGGCCCAGGAACGGGCACTGCGCAGAGGCCAGCGAGCGATAGGCCTCGGCCACCAGGTGAGGGTGGGACACCACCATGGACTTCCAGCCCGACGTCTCCATCACGTCCGAGGCGTGGCTGAAACACAGAGAGCTGAAACTCAGGGAGCGGGAATAACGGCAACGGGGGAACGGGAGAACGGGGAGCAGGATAACCTGGGAAAAGGAACCAGGATAACCGGGAATGGGGACCAGGATAACCGGGAACGGGGACCAGGATAACCGGGAATGGGGACCAGGATAACCGGGAACAGGGATCAGGATAACCGGGAATGGGGACCAGGATAACCGAGAAAAGGGATCAGGATAACTGGGAATGGGGACCAGGATAACCGGGAATGGGGACCAGGATAACCTGGAACAGGGACCAGGATAACCGGGAACGGGGACCAGGATAACCGGGAACGGGGATCAGGATAACCGGGAACAGGGATCAGGATAACCGGGAACAGGGATCAGGATAACTGGGAATGGGGACCAGGATAACCGGGAATGGGGACCGGGATAACTGGGAATGGGGACCAGGATAACCTGGAACAGGGGTCAGGATAACCGGGAACAGGGACCGGGATAACCGGGAATGGGGACCAGGATAACCGGGAATGGGGACCAGGATAACCGGGAATGGGGACCAGGATAACCTGGAACAGGGATCAGGATAACCGGGAACAGGGACCGGGATAACCGGGAATGGGACCAGGATAACTGGGAATGGGACCAGGATAACCAGGGAAAGGGAACCAGGATAACTGGGAATGGGACCAGGATAACCGGGAACGGGGACTGGCATGAGGGACAGGGATAATGGCAGCAGACCAGGATTAGGGATTGGGATGACAGGGAACAAATGGATTAGGGACCTGGATAACCAGGAGCAGACCAGGATTAGGGATTGGGATGACAGGGAACAAATGGATCAGGGACCTGGATAACCAGGAGCAGACCAGGATTAGGGACTGGGATGACAGGGAACAAATGGATCAGGGACCTGGATAACCAGGAGCAGACCAGGATTAGGGATTGGGATGACAGGGAACAAATGGATTAGGGACCTGGATAACCCCACAGGCTCTTCCCAGGCCCTGAGGAACGCCGGGTTCCCCTCCTGGGCTCTCCCAGGTGTCTGAGGGGTCTGGCCCCATTCCAGGCTGGGAGCTGAGGAGGAAAAGCTGCAGCAGATTCCAGGTGGGATGGCAGAACTGGGAGCTCATCCCAGCCCCAGCTCTCGGCACAGGAATGGCTGAAATCCATATAAAAAGCACGGAAAGAACCGCGCCGGGCGACAGAAACGTTCCATTTATTAAAGCTTGGCGGGGATTTTCCATCTGCTGCTGGACTGAGGGCTGGAATCAATCCCTCAGCATCAAATCACGGAATGCTTTGGGGTGGAAGGAGCTCAGAGCTCGTCCAGCTCCTGCCATCCCAGGCTGCTCCCAGCCCATCCTGGGACACTTCCCGGGAGATTCCAGGATCGGAACTCCCCGCTCCTCCCCTGCCTGCAAGTTCTGGAGATGCCAGGAAGCTCCAGAGCGGCTCCCAGGCTGTTCCCAGTCTGGGGAATGCTGGACCAAGCAGGGATCACTGGGAGGGAACCCAAAAACAACAGAGGAGATCCTTCCCTGACAGGGGAGCCTCCCCCAAGGAACACCTGACAGCAAACCCTGGAATGCTGGGGCTGGGAAGGAGCCCAGCCTTGGTTTGTTTGGAGCGAGCAGTGAGAGGGGAAAGGGAAAAGGGGAGGAAAAGGGGAGGAGCAATTAATTACTCACTAATTAATGAAGTCCACGGCCTGGGTTTTGAGCTGGTCCGCGCTGTGCAGGTCAGCCAGGATCTTTTGAGCTGGTCCGCGCTGTGCAGGTCAGCCAGGATCAGGATCTCGGCCGCGTTCTCCACGGACAGGTTACTGCAGAGAGCGTCCTCACACATCACCTTCAGCCTCTCCAGGGCATACTGGGATAAAAACATGGAATAACACCTGGAATTATACCTGGATACCACCCCTGCATCCTCACACATCACCTTCAGCCTCTCCAGGGCATACTGGGATAAAAACATGGAATTACACCTGGAATTACCCCTGGAATAACACCTGGAATAACACCTGGAATAACACCTGGAATAACACCTGGAATAACACCTGGAATAACACCTGGAATTACACCTGGACACTGCCCCTGCATCCTCACCCATCACCTTCAGCCTCTCCAGGGCAGACTGGGATAAGCCCATGGAATTCCAGCAGGGAACACCTGCAGGGGGGCTCCTCCAGGAACACTTCAGGAATGTCCCCTGCCCCGAGCTGGGATCCATCTGTGGGATCTTGGCCATGGGATCGGCTCCAAGGCTGTAAATTGATTTCCTGATCTCCTGATCCGAGGTTCTGCTGGAGATTTCCCGGGGTTTAACTGCAGTGTGTGAACCCCGTTTTCCCTGGCTGATCACAGCAGCAGAGCACTCCGAGTTTTCTCCAGCAGATTGGGAGGCAAATCGAATTTCTTTGCTAATCTGTCTCAATAAATAAATAAAGCAGTTTATGGGGCCAGCCCTGGGTTTGGATAATCGCCTGTCAGAGCCTCGAGATGTAACAAATGGGGCTGGAGATGGAGCTCCCTCCTCCCTGCAGCCACTCTTTAGTTCTGTTTTTGCTACAAATAACTCATTTTTAATTACATTGTTGGCCC